ACAAAATCTTCCAGTACAAGATACGCAGCCCCTCAAAAATGCCTCCTCTCCTTCACAAGAAGTCTCAAACGGTGCCAGAGCATTCGACCATCTGCAGGGTCTCAAGTCATTATATTTTAAAGAATTTCGTAGGCAGCACCCCCAATGTCAGTCCTGATGTAGCCAAAATGAGATAGTACAAGCTCAACAAACTCCAATTAATTCTGAAAAAGCTGCTAGATTGACTCTGTATAGCAACTGCTTAATAAACCTCTGCAGTGTAAACAGGAAAACCGATAGACCTTAATAGACAAACTAACTGCACTGAAATTGGCCAGGACATCCACAACCTGCCTTGATTTGGGATACTCATCACTGGCTTTGTTAACAAATCAAAGTAGCCAGAACTGTGCTTTTTTTTAATCTCATCCTGATAATCGCTAGGCCTGCCGGGCCAGTGACTCAAACCTGCAGAAAAGGGGAAGAGAGTACTGCTAGATCTTGGTGTATTTCTCTCAGTACTGGACTTTGGCAAAGGTCTCTCATCTTAGTATTAACATGCCTGATCGTACTTTGTTCATGGGAGCAGTGATCACTCTTCAATGCAGTAGTAGCTGCAGGATATAAATAGTTCCTTTTAATTAAAAGTTGCCATTTTCTCTGTGTCGGACTCCTCAAAAACGTACAGGTTAGGCAATTACTAATGTCTTAAGCATGGTAATCAGGCTGGCCATGAATGAAAAATGGGATTATGAAGCTGGCCCCAGACATGCATGACACTAACAGTCCAGTGACAGCCAGGGAATATAACTTCATTCTGTATTTTGCAGTGGAAAGAGACTGAGATGTAAGATGATATCTGGTTTCCTTATCTCCAGCGTAATTGTTTTTTTTTTTTCAATCTAGGCACAATAGTGTTTTCATACCACTTTAATGATGCAGAGATCAGAAGGTGTAATGCATTTAGCTAAAGTCAGGGTGCAGCCAGGGAATCACCTAATCAGGAAAGTAAGACGGTTTAAAAGTGACCGGGTTTTTTTTTTTTCCCCCAATTACTATCTCATGACTTCTTTCAGAAATTCAGCAGTTGATTGGATTTTATGGCTTCAGGTTTTTGTGGGACTAGGCATTGATTGTTGTATGTCTCCATTTTCCTGCAGGTGATAAGGGAGTGGGGCAAAGGGAATTCTTACACTCTGGAAGCTGCTTTCATCACCGGCTCTTGCATTTCTGTTGCAATAAAATGTGTTTTGTTTTGGGCGCTGATTCATGTCTACCGCAGCTTTGGGCAGGGGCTGCGAGAAAGAAGTAAGTACTTAAAAAGGTTAACTTAACGATGAAGGTTGCAACCTATAGTATGACAGTCACAATTAAGTAGAGACCTTGTCGAGCCAGGAAAATAGTTGGGGATAGTCACAATAAAAGGCAGATCCCTAATGACATCAAGCACTGCTGCAGCCTCAGAATTTATTGGCCTGACAAAGTGGATGGAACACACTTCTCTCCCTGAAGAAAACTGACCTTAGTCAAAGCTGCTTCCAACCTATGCAAGAACTGCTGCTATTCAGAAAAATAGACCAGTGTGGAAAAAAATCTTCTCTATACAAGATACATGTGATTTTTCTTCTTTATCATACTTTATAACCGCATTATAACAACTGAGACAGAATAAAGGGACCTAGAAAACCACTAATCTTGAACTACCCAAACCTCTTTTTACATGAAGGACATTGGTGTTGACTGATCTTCCTTTCTTCCCACAGTGTTTTCTTCCTATGGAAGGATTGACTCCTGAGCATTCCCCTTGTATTCCATCTGCAGCTCTTACAGAGTGAAATCATAGCTGGGAAAGTTCTGATCAAGTACTTGCATTCAGGATGTAAGGTAATGGGCCAGTTTCAGAGGTAGGGGAAGTTGGTCAGAAAGCGTCTACACATTTCTTGGTTTGTATTGTGGTAGGGAACTATAGCAGCGCAGCTGGTAACTTAGTTTAAAAAGCAAAGCGTGCTCGGGAAATTAACACTAATCCTCTCAATTCACTGAGTTTTGCTGACAGGACAATGCATCTTTCACTCCTTGTTTTCCTGGTGTTGCTTTGTAACTGCAGGAGGTTCACAACATGCATGTGAGTAGAGAACGTTGTTAATATAAATGCTGTTTTTCTGGATGTACACAAACATAATGAAAATAATTTACACACCTCTTTTATTACTGAGTCTAGAAGCGGACTGCCCTACCATCATTTCTCACTCAGATCTGTTGCTCATCAGAAGCCAAGCCCCGAAGTTGTTTTGATGAGAGCTGTGTTCCCTCATCTCCACTCCGGCTGTGACGGCTTAACCCCAACAGAATGGCTAGGGCGCTTGTTCCTTCTCCGACTTCAGAATATTTCCATTTTTTTTTAAAATCCCAGCTCCACGTGGAAACTCCGCAATGTAATCTCACACCTTCCTATAGCGTATCTAACCAATGTGCCATTTCACACACAAGGGTGACTGTTAAAATAAGCTTTTAATATTGTCATTTAAAAGTTTGGTATTTTATTGACTGGAACCTTTAGCTACTGGCTGTCTATTTTTTAATAAAGTATAAACACCGTTTGTGCAAGGATAATTCTTTCTCGTATCAGCAGCACGAGTTCAATGGGAAGCCTGTTTACAAACTGAGTATGGAATAGGCTGGAACTGCAATTCGCATGTGCCGTGAACACTGCCGTCACGTTCCTCTTAGGATTCATCTTTCAATGCAGGTAACTGTACCCTGCAAAAAGTAGTTACATAATTTATTGCAGCTTAGTAGGGAAATGTACAAGGATGATCTCAAAACTTCTATTAAAAAATTCTCATCCTAGTCTTCTAAACCTGAAACAAATTTATTTTATAAGTAGTTGTCCTGGTTCTGGCACAGGTACAGGTACAGTGGAGGCACGAAGAGGTTAAATGCCTATGGTCAGCCTGCATACAGCTGACAATATCAAGAGAAAGCACGAGAGTACCGGCTGATGACTCTGACTTCATCCCACAAGTCAAAATGTGACTATGAATTGTTGCTGAAATGGAGGAACACAATTAAGCATATTCAGTCCTTTTCTAAAACAAGCAAACACGCAGCAGGTCTTGCCTAGAGCAGGACCACTAAGGAAAGACTTTGATCTTGCAGCAGGCCTGTACTTTGTCAAAATTAGCTGAAGAAAGTAGGCTTGTGCTATGCTCCCTTTATCTTCATAGCAAGGAGATGGCAGAAACAATTGTATCCTTAGAAGGTAAAAAGTTGAGATTACATTCAAACATTTATCTCCCCAAAAGCAGAAATGTATTGTTATGTCTTGGGGAATTAACAGTCATATTTTCACAGAAAACTCTTCGTATTCCTGACTAAGGTCTTGTTAAATTCCTGGGGAAATCTGCCTGTTCTTTTTCACAAGGTCTTGAACTTAATACTTGTATGGATAAGGGCTGCTAGGCTGGATCTGTGAAAGCTTCCCTATACACAATCCTGTCATCATCTGCTGACAATATCTTTCACCTACTCTAATTTGAAGCACTTTATTTTTTGCCCAGCCATTCTCATCCTGGACATAGACAATCGTTAAACCAACTGGTTCAGACATCTGTTATTAAAGATGAAATTATCTCAGATTATTGCCTTTATTTCTCTCCTCATTTTTCTATTCTTGAGTAGTTAATGTAGCCCAATTAGTTGTACAGAAGATTTATTTCAACTTGCACAGCAAATCCAGCTTTTATTTTGAAACTTTTGAGAAAAGACTGCTATCAGACGTAAATATTCAAAAAAGCCTCCAGTATATTTCTAGAAAACAGATGCTACTGTCCCATAAGACAAAGCATCAAAACTCCACACTGGAAATTTGCCTTCCAAGCAAGTAACGGTGTATACCTAATTTTATATTCCCAACAGTCAAAATACAGCTTTACAAATCCAACTTTACAAAAAGATTTTATTGAAAGGATTGAAAAATATTTGTTTTCAACAATATTTAAAACAAGTTTTGAAAGCATTAACAGTATGTAACAGAATTTTTCCTCTTTTAAAAATTCAGTACACTGCTTTATTCCATACTACATCAGTTGTTAATAACTTCTTAAACTCTCTACTAGAGAATAACTTAAAAAAAAAATTTAATTTCCAAGCTTCCACTTTGGCCCTTTGTAGACTGGAAAGGATTTGTAGGTACAGTGACATTTACAAACCCTTACGTTAGAAACACTGCTCTTAATCAGCAAAAACCTATTTTACTAGCACAGTTTAAACAAGCTACTTTGAGTAAGCTACATCAGCAAAATGAGCTTTTATTGCCAACATAACCAAGTCTGCATTACATCTTAATTTCTGGTTAAGCTGTGGTTTGAACAGAAGTTACCCACACTTGAAGCGGTTAAATATGCAAAACTTGAGTGCTGTTTAAACCTCACTAGCCTGCTTATGAATCGCTGGTTTGTGGATTAAAGGCCTTGAAAGGGGACTTTGTACAGTTCGATAAATTTGTAATGTATTAACACAATTTGGGTTGTGTTTTGATATAAAGCAGCTAGTACCATTATAATCAACGCAGCTTTTTGAAGAAAAAGCAAAGACTAAAGTCATTGTGTGACTTTCCTGTAGTCAGTGATTGTAGCTCTACATGGCTGATCAGTGATCCAAATGAGATTGGTATCAAGCGGGAATAGTTGTACAAGCAAAACTGCAGAAGCCTCCAAGCCAGTAATGCAATTGCAGTACGTGATATTAAAGACACCTCCTAATCTAGATCTAATCTAGAGAAAGTAGTTAGGTAAGTTTTGATTACAGATTTCATGAACTATGCACTCTGAAAAATTAAAGTTCAGCAATTTAGTCAATAATAGCTTTACTATTATAAAAAGCATAAATAAAAAGTGCTGAATATAGTTTTATCTTTAAAAAAATACTAGATAAGGCTCATTAATCATTTCGCCTCACTTCCGCAAAATGATTTCCACTTCCTAGCATGCCTAGTATTCTGCTTGCTTTCCACTTCACAAAACATTTATATAGCCAATATACCCTGTTCCTTTTCTCAATTATTGCATGTTTAAATAAAATAGTTTCAAACCAAAAAGTCTGACACTTCTACAGCTCAAAAAGTAAGCAGTTATTAAATAACTGAATACTCCACCTAGGAAACCCGTAAGCAGCTTCAAAACAGTGATAAAACAATTACTGCAGGTTCAAGTGAAAGATAAATCCCAAAACCTATCTGGATATTCTGCAAGATATCACAAAATTTGTCTATTTAGACCAAATCAAACCAATATTCTATTTTACAAAATTTACAAACTGAGTATTAATTTATAGTAACACATTTTTCATTGTGATTTGTATTATTAACAAAGAGTTTGCATCTCTTATGGAAAAGTGCTCTCACCTGGATTTAATAAAATTAGACAGACTAGGGCAGCATCCACAATGGAGGATGCATTATTTAAACCATCAGAGGACAGCAGGTTAGCTAGGGTTCAGAAATTAATACATTTCCCATTACCACTTTGGACCACATAAACAACGTTAAGACAATCATGAAAAGTTCAACAGAGCCTCTCACTCCACTTCCAAGGAAATCCCACCTTAATCAGTAAATCAATTCCTCCACAATATTATGTCATAGGCTTAAATTTAACAGATAATGTCCATTCCTTTAATGACCAATGCAGCAAAACTTTGAAAATGCTGAAATTTGGATAGTATGATCATGAGACTGCACCACAGAGAACATAAATGTAAACATTATACTTGGGTTTGATATTTCTCAGTTAAAGTACAGTACAAACCCTTTTTTCCCCAACTACTTTTTTGTTGGGCTTTTTGTGTTTTTTTTTCTTTCATAAAAGCACATACAATAAAATATGTACACAGAGAAGTAAGAAACATTTGAAAGCATCTTAAAAAAGTAAATACGAGACTTAGAATATCTTGAGTGTGCTGAAGGCACCATTGCTACTCTGCTGGGAATGTGTCCTCTCCTTTATCAGCCTACCAATGCAGTATCCCGTTCTGTATTACTCAGCACCAAGAGTTGGAGGTTGAGGGCATTCAGGGCGTGGTATAGGATATTCTTTTTCTTCAAGATAATAGTGGAACTAGACAATAATAGTATTAATTGAAGTCCAGATTCTTCTTGAACACTTGGAGAATTTTTTTAATTTATAGTATCTAATGCTACCATTTATTCTAGAGAATCAAACAAAAAAAATAAGAAAACACATTGATGATTCCCATCAACAGGAACTGCAGAGCTATAAACTAGCTCAGCTACAAAAATGGAGATCACTGTAATAAACAGCTAAGCCCACGCTAATGCTCATCCATGCTATTTGTGGATATTTACAGTGATGACAGTCAAGGGTCAAACACTGCTCAAATTGGCATAAGATATATACATGTATATTAAAAAAAAAATCTTTTAGTTCCATCTATTCATAAAAAACATTCTTCATGGGTGTTTCTTCATAAATGCATCACATTCACAAGTAAGGAGAAAATATGTTAAGTGCTGTCTTGATGGGGCAAGATGTTCTGGGCAAGATGTATTTAATCTAACAAAAAGGAGTTTGGGGTTTTGTGTTTCTTTTTTTTTTTTTAAATTCTTAGAGCCTTTACATGCAGAGCAGTCTTAAATGGAATTAAAAATATACCAATTTAAACAGACTATTTTAATGCCACTTTTCTATTATGTATCTACATCCAGCCCACCACATTATTGGTAAGTTATAGGTTACAATCAAATCTACAGATGCAGTCGTCAATACCAATCAGAAATAATCCATTTTCAGATTGCTCATTACAAGGAAATTCAAATTGGATTACAACAATCGGAGCCTAATTTCTTCCATTTCTACTCTTGCTGGACAGGAAGTAGCATGATCATGTCCAGCCATCAGCAGATCAGACAGATAGAAACTATAATCACTACGTATGTCTGAAATGGTGACCACACTTGTGAGCCAAAAACTTAAAAACCCAAACAGATAGAAGGGATACTGCCACTTTCCATTCCCATGAGTCTTGTTAGATGTAGACACTCAGAATTCTTCTTCTTCAACGGCAAAGTTATTTTGCTTCTTCCGAACATTCCAGTGTAAACACTCCGCCAAGCTTTCAAACCAGTCGCTCACAGGATCTCGGAAACAGATCGAAGGAAGAGGATAGCAAGAGGTAGTGATGCTAATACTGCAACAACACAGGAATACCCCAGTCAGTCAAGGGCAATGAAAAGCATTTAAAAAAAAATAAAAAAAAATCTTCTGTTCACTGGCTAACATAGTGCTATGTTCAGCCAATTTGGTAAAACAGCAAGTTTCCGTAATCAAGCAATAACCAAGTCTGCAGGCTCATCTAAACAGAGTGAACACAGGGCTTAAAACTGTTAACAGATGCAGTGTGGGCAGCATTCTTTGACACAGTGAGAGCATTGAACCCACTCCATGACATCCTGCAGTCTTTTGCTGGTCTTCACATCAACACAAGGACAAAGGAAAATGTAAGTTACTGCCTTGGCCTTTAAGTTTCAACTATAAGCAACAGCACTAAGTCATCTAGCATCTAACATCGGGACAAATCTCACATTTGAATCCTTACTAGTCTCCTGATCTACTCTATAGATCTTTCAACCTCAGAAAATACAAACAGGCAAGATGGATATCATGCCAGCTATACATTTTTCTTCCTGGCAACTTGTATGGACCAATTAAAAAAGAAAGAAGTCATCCTGAATAGCAAGTCGACCAGGCACACATCACACAGTTGCCTTAAATCACCTGCCATTAGAAGCCACCACATTTGGCACAAAAAACTGAGGAAACTTCACACACTGTGTTCTGCTCACTCAAGGCAACAGCATCGTAAGTGACCACAACCGTTCAGGAATTTAACACAGTTTAAACCATACGGCATTATACAGAGCCACTGCTTACATGCAATTCCTGCTAGCTTACATCTTCTCAGACTCCTAAGATTTATCTTTAAGTTAATTTACAGAATTTTCTAAAGACATGTCCATCTTCCTTGCCAAGCATGCTATGTTTACATGCTTTTGTCTTAACATTTCACTTGCTTTCACAGGAAGATCTAAAAAACTCAAGTTAGAAATTAAATACTTTTAGTGCAGTTTGTGTTGTGAGAGGTGTTAGGGTTATGTTAGAGAATGAGAGAAGTGCATGAATCAGTATTTTCTCTACTTAGATGCTACAATCAAAAAAAGGCTTGACCTGTCTCCATGGCATATTTCCTGCCTCTTCCTTCCATCAAATGAAACCCATGCTGTATTCCTGGCATCTGGAGAGAGCATAATCTGAAAAAGAGAGAACAACTAAACTTCAGGTTCAAAACTTATTTTTCCAATGCAACGAACAAACACCTCCCCCATCCTCCCTCTGAGTTCAGAATTGCGTCTTCACAACTTTACAGTTACACTGAAATTCGTAATCTGTCCATAACAGTACAGTAACAGACCAGACAAATTCCAAACCTTCACGTTTGGTATATACACATATATTCTTCTACATGCAATAAACCCCCTCTCTGTAATTATAAGGTCATAAACCTGAACGATCTTCCAGTTACAGCCAGTGCATGCTTTAATTCAGTTACATGAGTTCACTTAGCATCTCTTTCAAGTAAAAATTACAAAGTTAATCCAGAAAAATAGATTTTAATAGATAATGAATCTAAAGCTGTCAAATTTAGGAAGTTTTTCCTCATATTTAACATTCATTACTATTAAGAGAAAAGAACTGACTGCCGTTGGCCAGTAACACCTACTGACATGAAAGTAATTGTGGACTGAGAGCAGTGCTGTGAATAAACATTTGATTTATGTTGTGAAACAAGAACAAAAAATACACATTAACTAAATCCATTTTATATTCAAGTATTACATGCCTTTTTTCTGCAAGACGGCATTAACAAAAAATAATTAGTGAATTGCAGATAACTACAAATATACTAAAAATCTGCAATAGTTGTTGTTTTAGCCATGAATGTAGGATTTTTCATTGCCTTAAACTAACCACTGATTTACATGTACTTCAGCCAAAATTACGTAAGATTTTATTAGTCAGAATGCAAATGTATGTATGCCCATTTTGCGGAACATTCCTCTCCTACAATCCAGTAGGAAGCAGTGTAAAGTATTCTGCTAGTGGGTATATTATTTTAAACAAAGATGCGTTCTTCAACCAGACTTGATCTGGTCCTCCTACAAATGAAAGGATGCAGGAGATACACAGCATTTCCTAACCTCTTCTGCTATGGTAAGGTTCACATGGTTGTTGCAAAACGTTTTTAACTTAGAAATAACATAACAGAAGCTAACCTTGAGTTCCACCCCAGCAGGAACAACAATAGGTCGGAAAGACAACGAGTGAGGGCAGATTGGGGTGATCATTATTGCAGGAACATTTGGATGAATCATAGAAGCTCCTGCTGCAGCTGCATATGCAGTGCTACCAGTCGGTGTGGAGACAATGACTCCTGAGAAAGGAGCAAAAATTTCACTTACATTCCAATCAATGTGTTACTTTGGAAGACAAATAAGAAATAGCACTGTTATGAAAATGAAGCAGAGAACGTATCAACTTATATTTCACAGGAGAATTGCAGTCTGATACACAGAAAGTCTCTTCTGATCCTGGCACAGCACATTTGTTCTATGGCTTCACATAAGTTGCATAAACTTCTAGATCTCAGGTTACACAACTTTGTAAAAGTGACATTCCTTTTTTTAAGGGTAAGAGCTTTAAAGATAAACTGTATTTCATGAGCTGTGTTGAGATCCTTCACACCTTCAGGAAACTCCAGATATTCAAGCAAACTTTTTCTGAGCTATTTCTTGCCCTTAGCCCTACCCTATTATACCCAAAGAAACCACCACTTGCCTCCACAAGTCCATAACCAAAGCTTACAGCACTTTAATGCTTTGTTGTGGAATGCATTAGTTACCAATGAATAAACATCCCTATTCTTTGCACACTGATGTTTTCTGTCACCAGAGAACTGAAGCTTGAGATTTTGTTTCCGTATGAGAAAATCCTCCAGTAAAATAGCAACAGTTTACAGATGAACCAATAAGCAATTTAACTCAAGAAGCGGACTCACCATCTCCTTGCACTGTTGTTATCAGGTGTCCGTCTAGAAAGACATCTACGTTGGAAAGGTAAGAAGAAGGACCACGATCCACTACAACTTCATTTAGGACCTGCCATGACATCAAATATTACACCAGCCCGCTATTGCTGACTTGGCAATGTAATAAATGACAAGCCGAAACACGCTTTCCAGATCTTTGAAAAATTCATGCTGATTTAGTACCCGCCAAATTAGACTCTCTTTACGCTTCTGTCTTAGCAAGTGCCAGCTGAAGTTTTTTGATGTTAAGCATTGTTTCCAGATGCTGGTTACTAACAACGTGCGGGGCTTTTCACTTATAAAAGTCTTTGGGATATCCCATTTTAGAACTACTATTTTGTTCTCAAAATAGAAGGAAAATATTACTACAGGAAAGTACAATATTAGCACATATGATTGCAGAAAATAATGATGTACACCACTTCCTCATCATTTAGTGCACAGATTGTGAAACACAGTAATACGGATCAGTCCCACACTACTGGGCTAATGTAAGTAAACTACTGAAAAGGGGAAAGTTATAATAAAACAAGTACACAGCAATTTACAAACAGCATATTAGTTCTTTTGCTTATTTTGCCCTCTGACCTGATATTGCATAATTTGCTTGCCCACTTCTTTCTCTATATTTGTAGACACTACTCCATTTTCTTCTATACCATTTTGTACCGTCATTTTCTCTCTGTGCTCTTTTACTACTTTCACTTTCAGCCTGCTTCGTAGAACAAGTGCTGCATTGCCTAGAAGTGAAATATAGGAGAAAGTACACAAAAATGATATGCTACTACAGTAAATAAGACCCTGTAATGACTAGCAAATTGTATGAAATGCCATCCGACTATTGCCCATGCTTTCAACGTTGCCAATTGCATTCACAAGATAATTGTCCACACTCGGTTAAAGCTCAAAACTAATGTTTAGAAGTGACAAGTAAAATTAAAGTCAAATTTGAACCCAGTCCTTCCTCCCTTTCTTCATTATGTAAAAAGAAAATTTAAGTTTTATATGGACATGATCAAGATTGGAAAACACTGTTAGGCTTATGTGATCTTCTCTAAGACAAAAGCTAAGCTTAAAGAAAACTAGTGCATTAGAAACACTTACTAAAAGACAACATTCTAGAAAAGTGAGAATTTTATACATCTTTTCGGGAATCTACTTTGGACACAACTCAACCTCATCTTGAAGAGACAAAGTATTTTTTTCCTCAAATATTTTATTTGCCTGACTGCACTGATTAGAGAAACAGACTTCAGAGCTACACTCTATTTATATATTTAGCTATCATTTAACATAAATTCTGCATCATCTTTTACTTGTTTACTCCACGCAGGACAAAGTTATATCTTAGCCATTTTTCCTCTCTAGAACAGTATGGAAAGCAGCACTGAATGGGTCAATTCAACGCAATACTTTTGTTGGTTTAGTATACATTTCTTGTGACTCAATCTTACGGGACAACCTAAATGAGTTGGTTAAGAAAATTTACTAGTCTTGGAAAAATCTACAGAAAATGTAACAAAAAGAAACACCACACCTTGTCCCCTTAAATTTACCTTCTATAACCTGAGTGACTTGGGACTGAAAATTCTCAAAATTAAATGGAGTAAGAAATCCAAGGGATCCCAGATGAAAAGCCATAACTGGAGGTACACTACCCTATCAATAAAGAAAAGAATTTAAAAACTACTGAATAAGAGCAATTCATACTTCAACTAATTGGCTGTAAATATTTTGACTATTGATGTAACTTCAACTGTGCATAATAAAAACAACACATTACATAAATTATTTTCAGAAGGTATAGGGTAAAACAGGCTTGATAAAAAAAAGGAATGAACAGCAAAGGACAAATGCTGTCCTCAACAACAAAGTTAAAAAACCCTTCACATATTTCAAAAAGAAAAGAGGTCTTTATTTCCGATAAAAGACCAACCTGGAAAAGTGAAGAAGCATAAAGTAAGGTCCCATCTCCTCCCAGGCATATGATAAAGTCTATTTGATTGGAGATATCATCATAATCTAGAAGCAACATTGAAATGCAAGTTTTGAATTAAGTCTTATCAACAGACTTAATTTCCTAACATAAATTAAGTGCAGCACGCCAACATTCACTCACAAATATAAAAAACACCAATCACACAACTAAAAGTAACAACAGCTGTTTGCAAAAACACATTAGTTTAACAAACTTGACCCAATGACTAAGGAAATAAGACAAATAAGCAATATACTTCAACTTTACTTTCAAGAAATCATTACCATACCTTCTCTGAACGTGCAAAATTTCTTCTTCACTGGTCCAAAATTATCGTCATTAGCTATAGCAGGGTCTTCCAATACTTTTTTTTCTACATACACTATCATATTGTTCTCCTTAAGAGAGGTAAGATAAGCTTGTTAATACCTCTTAAAATTACAAAATATTTGACTCTCCCCACACTTTGCACTAGTTAAAAACATATAAATAATATTTAACAGAAATGGACTGCATCTGCTGGTTCTAGGGTTTATTTTAATGACTGTGTCATCTAATTCTAATGAGAATTTTGCAGCACGTACAGACCACCTAATAAACTAAACTTTGGAATATAGATTACATGATGCAGTAGCATTGCTATGTTTGTTCAAGGCTTAAAGGATTAAGCTTTTTATATCACATTCCCTGGAGTTTTGACTTTGCTTTTTTTTTTTTAAAGCTCTTGTACTTAAAGTACTTAAGTACTGATCTTAAGCTCTGAAACAAGTTTTACTACTTCCAGTGGCAATGGGTATAACGATTTGTTTGCACTATACAATTCTGCACATTCCACATTCAACAGAATCAGTAATTGAAAACAGTTTAGATATAAAATTTTTAATTATGGTAAAAAATGGAATTCACATTTCATTACCTCAGTAAGATACACACAAAGCTCTTTAAAAGGCTGCAGCAGACTGGCATCACGTATCTTTTTAATAACAAGGACACTCTTGGGAGGTTTGTTCCATGTCAACCGCTGGCTTGCTGGATCCTGAATGTGCCTAGAGAATAGAAAAAAAGACAATGTTACTACAATTCGCTTTGACAACATTCTGGTCTGTTAAGAATATATCCTTAATTATAATGGCACACAGTCCTAGAACAATAGAAAGAAAGATGCAACAGTTTGTATTGTAATGCTGCTTTTCCCCCCATGAAATCAATCAATGCTTTACTATAGTAAGATGGTAACACAGTATTAAGGTGTCCATTCTTGTAACTGCTACCGTGCCAATAACACGTGCTTAAAGTAGCACAACTACGACTTTAAATTAAAAAAACCCCAACCAACCAAAACAAAAAAAAAACCACCCCACCCCACAC